ACTGAGGAGGCCCACCCTGTGGGGTCCGGAAAACGAAGCTGTTTCCGCAGCCAAAAGTGATGTCGCCGCAAGTGTCGTTTTGTTTTAGATAGTGGTAGCTACGGGTCCTTTGTTCGAACAAGAATGGGCTGGGTGTGCGCGCTGACAGGGTGTCGGTGCTGTGCGCTGGGGCTGGTGGCTGTGAGCTGGCTGCGTGCGCTGTTAACTTGGAGCCTGGTGCTAGTGCTGCTGCAGAGCGCTGCCGGATGAGTGGCCGCGTGCGCTTTGGAGATTCCACTAAGGGTGCCGCTATGGTGCTGCTCACAAATATCTTTGCTATCCAGGCTTAATTGCAGCCTTTCAGTCAAGCAGCCAGCTGGTTAAGGCTGATCAAAGCCCAAAGCACTCTTTGAATCGTTCTCTCTTCTTCTGTCCTCGTTTGCATTTTTTGGCGGTGAGGCGTTGCTCCATCAAGAGATGGAAGCCTTGAAGCGGCGCCGAGTTGAGCTGAAACGTGAATGCAAACGCGCGGCCAAAGACCAGAAACTGCTTGCTGCCAAGAGGCAGCGGCTTCTGAAGGCGCACGCTGGGTGTTGTGATCTTACTCTGCTTGCGCGAAACGATCAAGCTTGGCAGGCTGCTAAAGGCCTTTCTGCCGCTGACTTGCAGCTGCTCCTGAACCGCGCTGAAGGTGACAGGCCAACCACGTGTAAGGCCAACCTTGTCATGCAGAGTCTGTTGCAGGTGGTGCTGGCGCCGCCCTTAGTTTCGCCAATGTGTCTTAGAGATTGCGTGACCGTTGATGCGCCCACTGCAGCGACATGTACTTGGCCCCGTCTCTGTGACGACGTGTTTTCCTTGTGGATTGCTGACTAAAGAATTCACCAAAAGCGGATTCAGCTGCTTTGGCAGGTGCCGGTGGAGGCGGTGGTGCTGCAGGCAAGCCATGTTTTGCAATGTCACGAAAGCCAGATAGATAGGCTATAGGCTGGAGTTGGGTTGCGCGAACGAAGTGAGCAAAGGGGGTAACGAAGAAAAGTATTTGCAGTTTGGGGGTGTTTTGATGCAGGTGATGTAATTGACGGCCATTAGTGCATCAAAAGGTGTAGCGGGGGAGGATGTGATAGGAAAAGAGGTGGGGAGCTCACCAGGGATCTCGCACTCACCCCCCTTCGCCCCCTCCCTCAACACGTTTTCACATGTGTTTTGAATTTTTGCACGCCATCGCAATGCTTTCACTATTTGAAAAAAATTGGACATTGGAAGTGTTTTCTCTGTGTTTTCCAAATTTGAGAGCAGCCCAAAAATACATTTGCCCAGGTGGTGGCCCGGTTGGTCCAGCTGGTGGCGCCGAGCTTTGTATGCTACCGACGAACGTCAGACAGAAGCGCGCCAGTGCCAGAGTTGTGCCAGACACTTGTGTCAAAGGTGGTGGAGCTGGAGGCGCGAGCTCCTAACTCAAGAGTCTGTGACCTAACCCGTGAGAGTACCTCTGTTTTCAATTTGATGGAGGACCAGAAACCATGTACATAGCAGACACGGTGCATTGCTGTATACAGGCGGTGGTGCCGCGCCGGGTGAACCGGGTGAATGAGGACGCGCGGGGTCCACTTTGACATGTGTCTGCCATTTTGGGGACATGACTTGTAAACGTAAAGATGCCATCGTTGCGTATGGGCGCTAGGAGCAAGATCTTACGCGCTGTGAGAAGTGTCTGTATGCGGCGTGACCTAAGTGTTTTTCGACAGTCGGTGACGGGCGGAAGTTACAGACGCAGTGGCGCAGAGCCGAGCTTTTGTGGATCCTTGGATCTGTCGCTGCGATTCGGCCCGGACTGCCGCCGCTGACCTTTCGAAAAGTCTTGCAATGGACGCTGCGCTTGTGCGCCTTCCTTCCAACGACTCATGCCTTTAAGTTTTGCCAGTTTGGATCGGGTGGCGCTAGTATGTCACTCAGAGTTTTGCACGCGTAACAATGCCACGCGTTCAGAACTGTGGATGAATTTAGGTTTTCCTATACGAGAGAGATCAACGAGGATGCAGTTCTGTTCTTCTAACCTTTTCAAGTTCACAGACGTTCTTTGCAGGATGTTTGCTTTTCCCGAAAGCATTGCGAAGGGTTCTTCCGGAAATCCCTTGAACACTGACACTTCGACACTTACACTGACACTTACACACTGACACTTCCACACTTGCACTTGAACACTGACATTTCGACACGTACACTTGAACACTTGCGCTTTCACACTTACACTTGAACATGAACACATGAACATGAACACTTACACGTCTATACGTACCCCAGTGTAAGTGGAAGAGTGAAAGCGTCCAACGGCAAGTATGCAAGTGCAATGAGTATGCAAGTGTGAGTACGGAAAAGTTGCACGGGAGATGTCCTAATGAAAAACATTTCGCCACTTTATCAATTCTCTCTTAAAGGCGGAGGGTGGGACGAACAGCGTCAACCCAAAATGCAACCCTCTGCGGAGATCGTGCGTGTCGAGTGCGCGAAATGCAGGC